ACCTTGTTTTCTTTTGCTTGATTTTTTAAATGTTTATTTATTTTTGAGAGAGTGCAAGCAGGGGAGGGTCAGGGAGAGAGGGAGACACAGAATCGGAAGCAGGCTCCAGGCTCTGAGCTGTCAGCACAGAGCCCGATGCGGGGCTCGAACTCATGCACTGCAAGACCATGGCCTGAGCCGAAGCCGAACACTTAACTGACTGAGTCACCCAGGCGCCCCCTTGGTTTGTTTTTAAATATGACTCCTGAATTAGCACATTACATTTGTGCACTGTAACACTTTTTAAAATGCTAATTCTTATTTTTTATTTAAATTTTCAAAACAAAATATTTCCACCCAAGAGAAATGTACAGAGTAAGACACCTGCATGTAACCAGCACCCAAAGTTAGTAACCCTTCACATTTGTGACATTTACATCAGATACACTTTTTAGAAATAAAACATCACCCATAAAGCTGGCGACCCCTCCAAATCCCATCCCCCTCTCCCCCCCACACACAAGAACTCAGGTGCCCTGCAGGGGGCAGAGACCCTCCTCCCAGCTGTTACAGCAGCCTCAGCCCCACCCCTGCCTGGAAACAGCACAGAATATTGTCATTCGTAAAACTCCACCCTCAGCATCATCTTCCTGTATCCTTGTCCCTCTAAATGATTGTTTTTTCTCACTCAGCTTTATACTTTCAGGACTTACACATTTTGATCCAAGGAGAACTATCTTCAGGCTCCTTCCCCTCCAGGGACCGCTGGATCCCATGAAACATGGGGCACGTTCCTTATCCAGGCCGACACCATGCAGGCCCCAGTCTGCAAACAAGGCTGCAGGCTGTGCCTGGCCCCCCGCCCCGCCTCCACCCGCTCTCTCTGTGGCGGACCAGGGAGTGGGCATCTCCTGATCTCCCACGCGCTGCCAGACACCTCCCTCCTTTCCGGGAGCCATGTAAGCCAGCGCAGCAGTGAGCCGGCTCCCTGGGCCCAGCCTGGTGTCCTTCAGTGGCTGGAAGGTCGCATCCGATGCCCTGTGGGGTTTCCCCATCACTGGGGAGTAGGGGCATCTTCGGCCTTTTTGGGTCTGCTCTCTGCAGAGTCTGTTCCTGCCCCGGGTCCATGTTTCCACCAAAGGCTTGTCTTCACTCAGGACTTGGTGGCTTCTTTCTCATTCTGCTTATCGGTGCTGGCATATTTACATAGGCTCTGAGCGTCGTCCCCCTGGTGGGTGTCAGCCGTTTACACAATGTCCAACTCAAATTTTTATTAGTGTTATTTTAATGCAATTCGTCAAATTGTTTCTGCATTCTCTCCAGTTTTTAAAAAGAACAAAACAAAACACACACACACAACTCCTCCCTTCCCTACCTAAGCCATTCCAGGTGTGTCGCAGCCTACGGGACAGTTCTGTGGGGGACACCACGGCCCGTGCGCGGGCGAAGTACCCCCGAATTAGCGGTCTGGGCGAGCTGTTTTGGGGTACACACGACCGAATAGGAGTTAGCCAAAGGTGACGTAACATGGCCTCTCTCGTGGCTAAAAGTAACTGTCGGACAAGAAAACCTTCCCGCGAGCGGGGTCCTGCCCCTCCAGCTCTGGCGGGCTCCCCACGGTCAGCGCGGCCCACCCCAGGGGCGCGCCACCGCCGCGCCAGGGGCCGGAGGCCGAGCCGCTCTGAATACTGTTTGTCCTGCAGAAACACTTACCAAAAAAAAAGCCTAAACGCAAACCAGGAAGAAGCGCCAGGAAACCAGACCCCGGCCGCCCGCCGCTCCTCGGTCCGCGGAGGAACGCGCAGACCCTCCCCCGGACGCGCGGGGGAGAGGCGCGGGGGAGGGGCGCGGGGGGCGGGGGGCTCGCAGAGCTGCCTCCTGCCCGGAGCGCCGACCCACGGAGGCCGCTCCCGAAATGGAACGGAGCTCCGGGCTGCGCACCCGGGAAGGGCGTGGGGGGGGGAGGAGGGCGGCAGAGGAGGGGGTGCAGGGAGGGCAGGGGCCGAGTCCGCCGGACGCCGAGAAGCGCGGACAGAGCCTCCTCCAGAAGCGGGGTCCGCGAGGAGGGCGGACACTTCGCCACCCGCAGAAAGGGACAGGGCCTCGCCGTCGCTAAGCTCCAGTCGGTTCCGGGGACCCAAACACGCGGTTCCTGGGAAGCCCGAGGGGAGCGCCCCCATCCCGGGGTCCCGACCCCGAGGGCTGCCCCCTCCCCGGGCCCCTCGGGGCTGCGCCCTCGGGTCTCCTTCCGGCTCCAGGCGGGGGGAGCGGCGGGGACCCTCCGCCCGCCAGCGTCTCCTGCGCGCTCGCCTTCGGGGACAGGGCTCCCCGGGAAACGCGTGCGGAGCCTCAGGGCAGCGCCGCGCCCGGAATCCGACCCGCCGAGCCCACAGGTTCCGAGAGGCCGCCGCCCGCGCTGGAGGGACATTTACGTTGCATTTTGACTTCGCTTCGCCCACTAGACACGGCAAATGGTGCTTTCTTTCCAAAACTCAGGGGGAGACACAGCAACAAAGGAAACTGCAGCCGCGAACCTGGTGACCCCGGACTCCTTCTTGCTGCCTTTGCCCCAGGGTCCCAGGAAGTCGTGGGACGAGAGGGACCCGGGTTAGGGACACGCCGGGCAGGTGGTCCGGTGCGCCGGCGCGCCCGAGTTACTGCATCAGGGGAACCCGCGTAAAATGTGTATATTTAATCTTAGCTGACCCCCCCCCCCCATCACACGGTCCAAAACGGTGGCTCCGTTCCCACGAGATTTACCAACTCCACGGATTACAGGGAATCACAGTAAGACGCAGCGAACAGAAATCCGCGTGCACCGTTGGTTTCGTCCAAACGTCCCGGCATGATTCTCCTTCTTCCCCAAATTAAGCCGTTGGGGGAAGGGCCGGGCCGGGGGCGCCCGCCGTTCGGTGGCCGGGACGCCGCCGGGGCCACGGCCGCAGCGAGCAGGCCGCAGCCGCGGGCCACAGCGCCCCCTCGCCGCCCGCACGCGCGGCCTCGGCCGATCGCTCCGCGGCCTCCCCGCGCCCCGGAGCCCAGGGCCGACCGCGTGTGCCCGGCGGCCCGGCCCGCGCCGCCAGCGCTTCCCGGAGAGGCCCCTCGGGCCCAGGCCCGGTGCGGGCATCGGTGCCGCTCGGCCTCGCCGGAAGCCCGGCTCCTGGAACCGTGCGCGTCCACGCCGACTCGTCCGAAGCGCTCGGCCGCTGTGAGGACAAGACAGAAAGGCGACGGCGTTAACTCTGTTCATCAACGCGCGCCCGGGGGGTTGGGGGGGGGGCAGCGCCGCGAGCGCGAACCCGCACTTCGTTCCAAGTGACCGCGCTTCTCCGCCGCGGCCCGGCCGCCCCCGTCTCCGCCGCTGCCGCTCGGGCGCCACGAAACACGGGCGCCTGGACACCCCGGGCCGGCGGCCGGGGCGCCCTGGTCCCCGCTCTGCTGGCCGGGCGGCCGCGGGCCCGGGCGCATCGGCTCGCTCCCCGCGGACGGGGTTCGGCCCGCGCTCCCCGCGCTCCCGGCGGACGGGGTTCGGGCGTGCCGAGCCTCCGCGTCGGGGCCTCCACGCTTGCGGCCCGTTTTTCCCACTGACTTATTTTCAAAGAAGACCCGGCCAACTTTAATCCAAGACAAGGAAAGTGACTTAAAAAAAAAATCAGGGAGCTTTAAAGTGACACGGAGTTTATATATTCCAATAACAATGCAGAGTGTAAGTTTTAATGCCTCTGCGTAGTCATGTTAATTTGCTACAGTCACTACCAATAAAGGCGGCACGTACTGCGATTCGACTGTTTAATAGTGCAAGGTAGACGGTTTTTATTAGGAGCAGGCAGCAGTATGGAAAATTTAGATTTCAGCGGAGGGGCGTAATTGCTGGGGGGAAACACACTCGAGGAAGAGGCTGTCTTTGGAATCAGCAGCTCGAGCTAAAGAGAGGGAAGAGGAGACGGCAATGGTGGAGGCGCACCCCGGGCGGCGGGAGCCCCTCCAAAGCCACGTGGGCTTGTCTGCTTATATACTTAATTGATGTCAAAATCGAGTGTATCCGGAGCATACGCTCCTGCTCCAAACTGGGGATGTTTTTGTAATAATTCGCTGTTTTCTTTTCTGCCCCTGGCAGAGATCAGGCCCAAGGGGGGTGGAGGGAGAGAGAGGGAGGGCGAGGGGGCGAGCCCCAAATGCTAATGAAACACAGCAGGAACTGGCCTTTAGAAATGGAAATACTGGAGGCCAATCATCCTTGGAGATAAACATTAGACCTGATTTTTTTCACTTAAACTATCTAATTGGAAGCGAACCCCAAAGCCTGGAATCTGATCTGCTGGCTGTTACATTTGTCATCCAACCTGTGTGACTCTCACTCGAGGCCTCTGCCTCCCGGAATCGGCTCTCCGGAAGACGGAAAACATCCCAGACCCCGACGCTGGTATGCTCCCGGGGTCTGCCAGAGCGCACCCCCCCCCACATTTTCTCTCTCCTTTTTGACAGTCAATAATTGGTCTAAAGTCTGCCCTGCACTGAATTGGGATGGCCCACGTGGGGCGGAGGCATTGTGGAAGCCATGTGGCTGGGTCCTCAAAGCGGCCCAGTGTGTGGGAAGCGGCGATGTGCAGGCTGAAGCCAGGAGGCTGGGGGGACTGGATTTAGGAAGGGGGAGCCCTGGGGGGCAGGGCCGGGAAGCCTGGTGGGGGCTGGCGGTAGCTGCACACCTGCTGGCCAAGGAGGCTGGGCCCCCTCAAGCCCAGCACCCGGGTTTGGGACAGGCTCCCTCCGACCTAGGGAGACAAACGCAGCTTAGCCACGTCTTGAAAGTTCTGCTGGCGGACAGGACTGGGCTGCCCCCTAGCCCGGGGGCTGCCCCCTCAGGACCTGAACGAACTCGGCAGCGCGGCTGGCAGGGTGGGGTGCAGGGAAGTGTCGGGGGGAGAGGGCTGCAGGCCGAGCCCTCACCTGCAGCGACTCGACCTTACAGCAAGCCTGTCCCAGGCGGCCTCCGGGGAAGGCCACCTGTTGGGTGGGCGCCCATGCCCCGCGCACCTCCTGAGCGCCCCCCATCGGGGACCAGCCCCCGAAGTCCCCAGTCCCCGCAGACCCCAGCCCCGGCGCCCTCCTGCCCCCGCTGGGGGAGGGGTGGGAGAGGGGCAAGGGGGGAGGGGTTTTCCGGGGCTGGGGTCCCGCGGGCCGCCGCCAAGCATCTCGCCTCCGGGCCCAAGAGGCGCCTCCCGAGCCGCCAGTTACCTGAGCTGCCTCCGCGCGGCCCGCGCTCCTCCGAGCGCCGGGCGCCCTCGCCTCCTCCCCGAGTGACAGCGAGGCTTCGCGTCGTGCCAGAAGCGGTCTGCGCGGCGACAGTCATTCTCTAGAACGCCTGACGACACACGCCGACGGAAGAGCCAACTTCCTAAACTAAAATCGAACACAGCTCTCTGGAGGGTGGCCTCTTCGCGGGTGGGACCCTGGCGGCGCGTGTCTAAACGTTCCCAACGGCCGAGAGTCCTCACGCCAGAGGCCCGGGGCTCCGCTGGGGCTTCGGGGCGGCGAGCTCACCTCTGGGCCCCCCTGGCGGTCCGCGAGGCAGGCGCCCCGGTCCGGGTCCCGCAGGGACACGCCGGGCGGTGCGGGGCAGGCGACCAGACCCGAGGCCACGCGGAGCGCCTCCCCCGGCGAGGCGGAGGGGACCCGGGAAGGTGGAAGGGAGAGCCGCGCACGCCGCCCCCCGGAGGCCCCGGCCTCGGGCGCGGCCGACCCGCCCTCCCTCCGGCCCGCGCGGCTCCCGGCCGGAGCCTGGGACACGCGCGCGGGCGCCTGGGCCGGGCTCGTCGCGGCGCAGAGGCGGACACGGACCGCGCGTCCCCCAAGCGGAGCAGACGGGCCTGCGTGCGGGCGGCCTCCGCTCAGTCCCCGCGGGCCGGACGGGGGGAGGGGCAGTGGCTGCGGGGGACGGGGGCGCGCGGAGGGGGACGGGGGCGGCGAGGGGGCACGGCCGGCGGGGGGTGGGGGGCGACGGGAGTACGACTGAGTGGGAGGGGGCGCGCGCCGGGGCGAGGGGCTCGGCCCGGCCAGGCTGCGGGGGCCGCGGGCCGCGGCTGGGGCTGCGCGGGAGGCGACTGCGCCACAAAAGCCTGCGCGTCCCTCCCTCCGTCTCCCCCGCCCTCGCGCCTCCTCCTCCGCCCTCCCCTCCCCGCCCCTCCCCCGGCCGCGGCCGGGCCGCGGGAGCCGGCGGAGCGGGCGGAGCAGGGGAGGGGGCGGGCGCCCGAATATGCAGATGAGCGCGTGACGGACAGCTCCGCGTTCCAATGTCCCTCGGAAACTCGAGCGCTCCTTCCTCAACTCCTCACTCCCGACTCCAGACTCCCCCAAACCCCGACCGCCGGCCTGGCGCGCGGCTGCGCCCACCGGCTCCGCGCCGCCGCCGCCGCCGCCCCGCCGCCCCGCCGCTCCCCCGGCCCGCGGGCCTCGCCGGCTAGTGCGCGGGCCGGCCCGCCTCGGCCCGCGGCCCCCGCGCCCGCCGCCGCCCCGCGCCCCGGCCGGGCGTGGATGGAGGGCGCCGCGCGCCCTGCCCGCTGCTCGGCGTGACGCGGGCCCGGCGCCCCGCGCCCACAATGTCCTACCCGCAGGGCTACCTGTACCAGGCGCCCGGCTCGCTGGCGCTCTACTCGTGCCCGGCGTACGGCGCGTCGGCGCTGGCGGCGCCGCGCAGCGAGGAGCTGGCTCGCTCGGCGTCGGGCTCGGCGTTCAGCCCTTACCCGGGCTCCGCGGCCTTCACGGCGCAGGCGGCCTCCGGCTTCGGCAGCCCGCTGCAGTACTCGGCCGACGCCGCCGCCGCCGCCGCCGGCTTCCCGTCCTACATGGTAACCGCGCGCGGGCGGGGACGCGGGGCGCGGGGCGCGCGGGCGGGGCGCGAGGGCGCGGGGAGGGCGCCGTGGGCGGTGGCTCGGGGGTCGCGGCCGCGGGCCGGCCGCGGCGCTGGCGGGACGAGAGACCGGAGGGAGAGGCGGCGCGGCCGGCCGGCGCCGTTACTCAGGCCGGGGGTCTGTGCCGCTTCAGCCCGGGCTCCCGGGGTGCCGTTCCCAAAGAGCCCGGAAAGCGCGACCCCGCTGCGGTGGGGACTCCGTCCCGGCTTGGCCTCGGTTCGCGCGCGGAAGCCTGGCGAAGGGTCCGGAGCGGGCCGGGAGCTGGGCGCCGCTGGGGCCTCCGCGGCGGCTGCGGAGCTCCTGGGGGTGCTGGTGGGGCTGGGGGTCAGCGGGCTGGGGGAGCGAGCGGAGCAGCCTGCGGCACCTCGGGGACCCCTCCCGGCGCGCCACGATCTCGGCCTTTATCGGTCCCACAGGCCGAGCTTTCGGCGAGCGCGTGGGCGGGCGGGCGGGCGGCCGCGCTGGTCGCGCCTCAGTCCCCAGGTGCCCGGGTCGGCCCGCGCGCCTCGGGTCCGCAGCTGGGCCCGGCCCGGTGCTGCTGACGCCCGTCCCGAGCGAGCGCGGGCCTACGGGGGGTGGGGGGCACTGTCGCCGCCCGCCCGCCCTCGGTGGAATTCCAGGGCAGCGACTGTGTCGCCGGGGCCTTGGCGGAGGCTGCAAACGTCTCGAATTTAAACGTTAAAGGCTGAATTAAAATGCTAATTACCGCGTATTTGAAGAATTCGAAACGGTGACTGGCTTCTGAGTTGCAAATTGGATTTGCCGAGCTTTAGAGCGGTGAATAGCGGAGCGGGGGGCTCTGGGGTGGTTTTTTAACCGTGTAAGGGCGGGGAAGGGGGAGCAGGGGGAGCCGGCCAGAGAAATTTAGATATCAGGGAGGTACCTGCGGGTCTGTGTCCATGCCCGTCTGCGCGCCTGGGTGCCTGCAGCTCGGGGACATTCGGGGCAACTTACGCCATTTCAGGAAAGTGAAAGAGTTCAAACATTCGGGGTTAGAACCCCAACGTTTTGTGACCCACAGCCGGTCTTACGTTGTGCGCTGCGGGGTCCCCCCTGCTCTCTTGCTGCGGGGAAATGCGACTCCGGCGCGGGACTGGCCGTGGGAAAGGCGGCGGCGGGAGGGTGCAGGGGTCGCCGCTGGGCAGACGCGCGCCGGGCCCCGCTCACCAGGCTGTCGTTGGTTCCAGGGCGCGCCCTACGACGCGCACACGACCGGGGTGGCCGGCGCCATCAGCTACCACCCGTACGGCAGCGCGGCCTACCCCTACCAGCTCAACGACCCCGCGTACCGCAAGAACGCCACGCGGGACGCCACGGCCACGCTCAAGGCCTGGCTGAACGAGCACCGCAAGAACCCGTACCCCACGAAGGGCGAGAAGATCATGCTGGCCATCATCACCAAGATGACCCTCACGCAGGTCTCCACCTGGTTCGCCAACGCGCGCCGGCGCCTCAAGAAGGAGAACAAGATGACGTGGGCCCCGAGGAACAAAAGCGAGGACGAAGACGAAGACGAGGGCGACGCGGCGAGGAGCAAGGGGGACAGTCCGGACAAGGCGCAGGAGGGCGCGGAGACCTCGGCCGAGGACGAAGGTGAGCGGGGCTGCGGCCGGCGCGGGGTCCCGGCGGCCTTCTTCCCAGGCGGGCGCAGAGCCGAGGTCGGTCGGGGAGCCGCTGCCGGCAGCCGCCCCGGATCGCTGGGGCCCTGCGAGTCCGTAGGCGCCTCCCGGGGACGCCCTGCTCCCCGCGGGGCCGTGGCCGGGGTGGGGGTCCGGGCGGGGGATCACGTGGGGGCGCGGGGGCGGGGGCTGTCCCCCCCCGCGCCACAGCCGTGCCCGCGCCCCCGCAGGGATCAGCCTGCACGTCGACTCGCTCACGGATCACTCGTGCTCCGCCGAGTCGGACGGGGAGAAGCTGCCGGGCCGGGCCGGGGACCCCCTGTGCGAGTCGGGCTCCGAGTGCAAAGAGCAGCTCGACGACCTGGACGACGAGGAGGACGAGGAGGAGGACGGCGCGCGGGGCCTGGCGCCGCCCAAGCCCGTGACCTCGTCGCCGCTCACCGGCCTGGAGGCGCCGCTGCTGGGCCCCCCGCCCGAGGCCGCGCCCCGCGGCGGCGGCAAGGCGCCCCTGGGCAGCCGGACGTCGCCGGGCGCGCCGCAGCCCGCCGGCAAGCCCAAGCTGTGGTCTCTGGCCGAGATCGCCACGTCGGACCTCAAGCAGCCGAGCCTGGGCCCGGGCTGCGCGCCGCCGGGGCTGCCCGCGGCCGCCGCGCCCGCCTCGGCCGGGGCGCCCCCGGGCGGCTCCCCGTACCCCGCCTCGCCGCTGCTCGGCCGCCACCTCTACTACACGCCGCCCTTCTATGGCAACTACACAAACTACGGGAACTTGAACGCGGCGCTGCAGGGCCAGGCGCTCCTGCGGTACAACTCGGCCGCCGCGGCCCCGGGGGACGCGCTGCACTTGGCGCCCAAGGCGGCCAGCGACGCGGGCAAGGCGGGCGCGCACCCGCTGGAGCCGCACTACCGGCCCCCGGCTGGCGGCTACGAGCCCAAGAAAGGTAGGCTGCGCGCGGCCCCCGGGTCCCCGGGGAGCCAGCGGCCCCCAGAAAGCCGGGCCCAGGGGCGGGGGCGACCCTCGGTGGCTCCGGGGAGCCTTTGTTGCTTAAAGAAGGGAAGGGAGAAGGCGGAAGGAAGGCGCCACTCCTCCGACCCGCGGGCGGGGGCGGGGGGTTGGGGGGGAGGGGGAGGGTATCCGCAGCAAGGGGGGGGGCTAGCGCCCCTTGCCCTGCAGGAAAGCTCACCCCCTAATTGTCCCCGTTTCATTTAGCTTAAGGTTGTTGTTACTATCAGTATGATTGTCCTGGCTGATTCCTTTCACAAAAGACCAGTTGTCGCCAAATGCAGGTTATGGTTTGTCTTCGCGCAGCTGCAGCTCAGGGCCAGGGCCTTCGCGGTTCCTGCGGCCTCAGCTGAGTCTCCGCTTCTGCCTTTGCCTGTGAGGAGACAAACCTTCCCAGAGGCGCCCCTTCCTGCAAACAGAAAGGGAGATTCTCTGCCCTTACCCGGCCCTGTCCCGGTTGCCTCTGTTGCTCATAATTCGGGCCAGGAGCTCGAGGGAGGCAGGGAAAGGGGATGGGGACAGGACCGGCCGGGTCAGTGTTTCCGTGTGTGGGGGGGTGGGGTGGGGGGAGGCAGTTTCCCCAAAGTGTTTTGTGCGTTCAGGGAACGCGTGTGCAGGGCTGTGCGGGCTGGTGGGTGTGCAGCTGTCTGGGAGACAGATGGCTCTGGGGTCAGGTTCTGACTAACTGCCCCCTCCCCTGACAGATGCCAGTGAGGGCTGCGCGGCGGTCGGTGGGGGCGTCCAGCCCTACCTATAGAGACCCGGCTCAGCAGTGCACGTAAGTGGCACCCTGGTGTCGCCCCGTCCCCGTCCCCGTCCCTGGGGAGCCTCCCTCCACCAAGTGAGCTGTAAACTTGCTTCATGCTTATTTCTCGCCTCTGGTCCCGGAGTCTGAGGACAGAGCTCTGCAGTGTTCTTCCGTCTCTGGATTTGTGTTTCTCCCGTTAGCGGGAACGTAGCTGGTCTCTTGTGTAGAGTTCCTCTTTTTCCACTCCAGTTCTGCTTTGAAGATTCCCACCTTGAACTGGAATATGTGTATCACACCACTGTTGTTTTCTCACTGAAAAACAGTTTACTAAAATTTGGGTATCCGTACGCAGTCTGGAACGATCTCAGTGCGCCAGACACGTCCGTACTAGACGCTGGCTTGGACGAGCTAGTGCTCGGGAGGCGTGGGGCCTCGGAGCCCTTTAGAGGCGGTGTTGCAGAGTAAGCCCGGAGAGAAGAGGGACGCACGGGCCCTTTATCAGGCCTGCCCGCGTGTCCAGATGGACTAGACAGGGCCCCGCACTTCGCCCGGCTCAGGGCAGCATCTCACAAAACTGCCTGCTTTACAACTAGGCCAAATTGCTAATCACACATCTCGAAGATGCTGGGAGAGACGGAATCCTTTCAGATCGACTCATTTTCGTAATGCGATCACGTTGATGTGTAACTGAAGGATTTGGGATGATTTGGTTTTTTCCTTGGTCCACAGGTAGGTGTCACAATTGCTTTGGAAAAAAAAGTCAGCAGGCCATTCTGTCTCCCCAAGTTCATAGATATCCAGATAGAAACACCCCATCTGTAAACCCGGATCGCATCTGGTGCCACTGTAAAAGAGAAGGATCCACAGGCTGTAACAGGACAGACCTTTGTTGGACATAACGTGAATGTGTTGGCATAGTGTAGCTTCCCCCGATGTACGTGTGACTTTTGAAAACAATCTTTTTTCTCAGGATATCTTGAATTGATCACTTCATTGCCACGGTATATATTCTATAGGTGTGATAGGATTTACTGTAAAATTTATTTGTAAAAGATGTACACAGTAGAAATAAAACGTGATTGAAGAACTTGAGTACTTAAGAAGTGGAAACAAATTTGATATTTATTTTTATAATGATATAAAGCTTCTAGTAATTTATGCAAGTTGTATTGCAATGGAATCTAAACTTTTTGTAAATAAATTCTGCCTGGTTTTTATTTGAACATTGCTGGTTATACAATCTTTGTTGGTTGTTTAACAAGAATTCTTTACTAATTTATATCTTAAATTGTAAA